CCGCTGAACAATTGCACCCTACCCAATCACAGCCTCGGAACCCTCTTCCGCCATCCCATTGGCTCGCTCAGAGCGCCTCTGGCCAATCTTCCAAAAGGAGCAGACCCCGCCACAGCCCAGACAATGCATACTCCAAAACCCAGCAGTCGTCACCTGATGGCCCACGATGTGACCACATTGTCGTTCGATCTTCGCACATCCGTGGAGCATGCCGTCGTAATGCCCGTCTTCCCAACCCCACGTGCACTCGGACGCACCCGAGCCGAACTCTCTGTGACACAGGGACCACCACAGCCGAGCCAGTGGGCTCACATCCTACATAGCCATCTAGACCAAGTCCACTCTACCCCATTTTGTTTTCCAACCCACTTCCTTCATGCACGCCAATGACGTACCGTAAGTTTACCAAAATCCATTTTGGTAGGTGATGAACAACATCTGAGACGTTGCATGTATGAGAAGCACACTAGAAGATTCCGCGCATCCAACGCATGAGGCGGAAACCCCATGTTCCGACTACTGACATCGGGAAAGAAGCAATCGATACCGGAAGGTCGCAGTTCGAGACACGCGTGACGTGCCATGTGGCGCAGGGTATCGTGGTGAATTAGTGCAAATGAATAACTCGGAATCGGGATAATGATACTGCAGAAGATGAAAAGAAGTTTGTGCTGGCTCCGATGTCGATTCATATTTGGCCCTTGATGTCTACTTTGCTGAATGCGGCGGCACGCAGGCTTTCGAATTGAGATGCGGCTTCTCGGATCCTGACACGATATTGACCGTCGCCTTTGTCTTCAATGACGTTTTGTGCACCGTGGGTTTCGAGGAATTCACGGCATATCTCATCGTTGTCGAAACCAAGTTCGTCAGTGAGGAAGCGGAGTGTGACATTTACATATCTACAGCTTGTTAGCAAAAGACCTGCACGATTTGGAATCTGTATACATACCCTCTGGACATATTAGCTAGAGCATTGAGGCGCTCACGCTCGACGAACATGTCCATGAGATAAGCGCCCATGTTCTCTGCTTCGAGGTACAGTCTGAAAAACTTATGATAATTGCCAAGGGCAAGCGAAGACCGAACATCCAGAGCATGCTTGATCCATGGGTGGGATTTGTCTGCGAGGGTTAATTCTGCCAACATGTCGTTCATGTCGGTCTTGTTGCACGTATATACGAAGTAGAGAATGCGGTACGCCTTGAACTCAGCCGGGTTGCCTCCCAAGTTCTGCGCATACAGTGCCTTCAGCTGCGTCTGGCACTGATTATACTCACCCAAATCCCCCTTTTCTAATGATATCCGGGCGTGGATCTCATACACCTTGACAGTAAAGGCGTTCTTGATGTGCTGAACAGTAAGATCCTGGCGGAGTGACTTGAATTGATTACAGATGTAGTTGTAGTTCTTTTCCGCCTTCCACTTCTCCACAAGCATGGCCAAGGTCTTCTTGAGCACATGGAGCGGTCGGACGGTTTCAGCTTTGGGCGGGGCCGTAAGGCGGAAGTAGCTTTTCTCGAGATTTTCGTTCGTTCCAACAACAGGTCCAGTGGGCATTTCGTCTTCATCCTTACGCGATGAGCCCCATGGGGGCGTCGTCTTGGTGCCATTGTTGCCGAGCTGGAAGCGCTGTCGTCGCTTGTCAAGCTCAGCCTGGTCAAACTTACTTGCGGCATCCGAGAGGGCGTTCTTCTTCTGGCGCTTTTCGTTGTGTCCGTCGGCAAAGGTCATACGAGATGCTAGGTTAGTTTTGCGCCACGGTGGAACATTGGCTTGTGTTTGCTCGACTTGTGCATCCTCAGCTTCGTGGGCATTGCGCTTCTTTGATTGCGTTGGAGATGTGTTAGTGTGTGCGGCTGAGCCATTCATGTATGCAGGGTGTATGCCGTTGGGAACAGCAGTAGCAGGCATTCCAAGAGCCGCCGCCCTTCGTTCCTCCATGAGAAGCTCTTGGGGAAGAGGGAATGTAGGCCAATGAACAGTGTCGTGCGAGTTGCGCTCGGCGAACCAACCGATGGTTGTCTTTAATCGCGCCTGCATGTCTGCTTGGGAGATGCCTGGGATGGCGTTTTGCGGATCGAAAGCACGCCTAACGTATTCGCGGACGGCGGGAGGCCACTCGACCTTCTTCTTCGGAGCTTCCGGGGCCATGACTGGCTGCTGGCGGGTGTGAGCGTGGATTGGAACTCTCGTATAAGTGAGGAGACTAACAGGCGCGGGCGCAGGTTGGAGTGTGGTGCGTGGGTTGACTGCGTTATACGCGGGTGACTGCATTGGCCGGGACCAGGCTACAGTGGCAGAGGGCAACGACATAAGCAGGCAAGCAAATCAAAAGAAGTGAAAACCAGGTTGACTGTTGTGTGAGTAGGTAAAGGCGAGAAAAAGAGATGTGGGAGAGATGGCGCGGGGATGGATCTATTGTTGTGGAGGTGAGAGTGAAGCGACGGCCCGCTCGACTGATTTGCGTCGCAGTGGTCGCGCTTTGCTTGGCGACAACTAGCGTGGGTCTAGCCGCAAGCAAGCTAGCCCTGGCCAATGACGACTGCTGGGCTCGGGCCTGGTGAATGCAGGCGGGATCGGGTCATCGTCGACTCGACCCAATGCGATGGACGTACCTCGCATTTTCCAACTTGCGAATGGTCTGAATGTTCCTGCATCAACTCGACCTCACAACCGCACTGCGCCCGTCGCTCCTGCCGGAGGAGACGCTGCTTTTCGTCCAAGACGCCGTAGGGCTCTATGAGGGGTACGAGCATGCTCCCCAGGGCTCTTATACGCCGCTGACCAGGCACATAGGAAATTCAAGATCCCCCAGTACCAGAATGGCCAGTCATACTTGACGTCGCATCGCGTCTGCTATGTCGATCATAGCGAGCCGCGCAAGAGCTCCGTCGCTATCTTCCTCAAGGACGTCGAGAAACCAGAATTCTATGTGTGCATCCCTCTGCGTGCAAAGTAGAGGCACCCGACACTAACGACATACAGGCCGGCTTCCTCAAGTCGTCGCCCAAGATCACATTATATCCAAAGCCCCTGAAGCAGTTGACGCGTGGCGCGTCCGTTCCCTCGCATCCTCAGGCCACATCGTCGTTAACTCCTCCGCGACACAGTAGTCCGGCACCGCCGCCCCCAGCGAGCGCGACCTGGGTGTGCCCTATCTGCTCTTTCTCGAACCCGGTCCCGTCCAACTTCGACCCCGCGCTCGCATCACGTACACCCATACCGCCTTGTCTAGCATGTGGAATTAAGCCGCCGACCGTGCATGTAGTCAAGGCAGCCATAGCAGCCATCTCAAATAGACCAGCGCCTGGGCCACCTCCCAAAGACACAAAGGGTAGCGTTCCTGCTCCCGCAAGCGCAGGAGGAACGTCGTCATGCCCAAGATGTACCTACCAGAATCATCCTTCTCTGCTCAACTGCGAGATATGTGGTGCATCCTTGACAACAGCCATAGATAAGAGGTTGGACATGCTTCAAGAACCTAATAGACCGCAATCTCCAGGCCCGACCTTGTCTTCACCTTTGCAGTCCGAGTCTGTCGAATGCATCAAGATATCTTTCCGCGCCGGTGGAGGACCGATATTTTTCGAGCGCCTGAAGAACGCATTAGTCCAGCGCAAGTGGCTGCTTCAAAGCGCCCCACCGATTCCCAAGCCACGGCCGTCTTCCGGTAATTTTAACGACAGCTACACAGCCAACTCTGACGCTTCATCAATGGAGGTCGAACGACCTCGCGTGGTCGGCATTGCGGGGCTGGAGCGAAGAGGCCTGGAGCAGAGACAGAATAACGAGGCTATGATTGGGAGCGCTTTCGAAGACCTCGATGCGCTTATGACTTCCGCGAAAGAGATCATAGCACTGGCAGAACAGTTTGCATCACAGGCCAATCTGGGGACTAACGGCAGCTCGGAAGCCAACGCTTTAGCATCTCAGTCCGCTTCCGCACTCGGCCTAGTGACAACAAAAGACATGCTCGGTACGGGGTCTGGCTCTGAGTCGCTATACGTATCGGAGCTGTCAAGAAACTTGGCAGAATGGCTCACAGACGACACTCGAGGTATACTCAGGAAAGAGGGCGGTATTATGACTTTGGTAGATTTATGGGCTGTCTTCAACCGCGCAAGAGGTGGTGTTGAGCTCGTAAGCCCGGCCGACTTTGAGAAGGCAGCTCGAATGTGGGATACGTTGAAACTTCCCGTGCGCCTCCGTCAGTTCAAGAGCGGGTTGCTCGTCGTACAAGGACGCGATCGCACCGATGAGAAGACCATTGCGAGTCTGCTGGCATGGCTCAAGACGCTACATCAAGCACCACCAAGCATGGAAGTCACCTGGGACTGGCAAGCATTTGGCAGGGGTGTCACTGCTCAAGAAACAGCAGAGCGATTCGGCTGGAGCGTTGGAGTCGCGACGGAAGAGTTGGAGATGACTGAAGAAGCCGGCGCACTGTGCCGCGAGCAGGGCATCGACGGTTTCAGATTTTGGGAGAACTGGCTGGTCGACATGCCAGAAGTCACTGCCGGCGTCTGATAACTTAGAAAGGTGGTTGTTCGTATCTCATAAAAAGAAATACCAGAAGCCCTAGCTAACACTGTATTGACAGTGGGTCCAATAAGACGTCTTACCTACCCTCAATGACTTCGCTTATGTCCTTCTCGTGAGATGAGAAATCCGAGCCATTTCGCGTTCATGTCGGTGGCTTATTATGAACAGTTTCGAGGAATAGAGTGCGAATATCCGCAAGTGTACGGTACCTACGGGTTGCATGTGCCAGCATCGTCACGCAACCGCTTGAGCAAACAGCTATCCCCACGAACAAGCGAATCAGAATTGCATACACCGATCACAATGCAACTAGGCACCAGCCGCGGGAGTGACCGCGTATCCACCGCCCTCTCTGACGGGGGTCCGAGCTCGGCCCATACCATGCCCACGCACCCCGCGACATCGAGCCTCACTCTTGCAACATCTCTCCTGCATCCACCAACCTTACACCACTAATGACGCCTCCCATGCCGGCCAAGTAAGTATTGTTGAGTGTTGCGATCGACTATGATCTGTTATAGTAGCTAATATATGTGATATAGGGCCCGTAGATGGAACGCGAAGACAGTACAGGCGGTCGACAGCAAAGGCGCAGGCAAGAGCGCTGGCATGAAGCGAGCCATTGGCAATAGCAGCTCCGAGCGCCCAAACAAACGGCGGAAGGCAGCAGCATCCACCAAGAAAGATGTCTCCGTACCGGAAGCCAACAAGGCGGACGATCCATGGGTTGTAAATCCGGATCAGGTGTTCAGATTCATGGACCTACCAGGAGGTTAGTCTCTACCATCGGCGTAGTGCTCGAGTTGTTGTACTGACCCCATACAGAGTTGCGCAACCGGATTTATGGAATGGCGATCGAATGGAGCTTCCGCTGCTTCCCTAATACCCATGAAAAGCCAAAGAAATCCAGACGCGGAAAAGCGATTGAGGAAAAAGCACCTGCCATCACCCAAGCGAAACCCCTTCCTTACATCGGCTTGACGCAAGTCTGTTCTCTCATCCGTACTGAGTTTCGTCCTTTGTGGCTATCCACCCATCAGTTCCCGCTCTTTGCACTGGATGGTTACTTCAAAGCGTTCTTTCCGGTGTTACGCGGAGGGTCACGATTAAGCGAAGACGTTCGGAAACGGATCAAGGGTTATTCCAAAACGACTGGCACCCTGCGTCTCTGGATCAGAATGGACTGCTTGAAACGCGTTGATGTCCTCCCACTTCTCAAGTTCAGGCACCGGTTCCCCGAGTACATCATAACGCCCAAAGCTGCCCAACCCAATGTTGAAAAGCTCACCATGGACTCGTTCACAGCTCTCATGAATACCGACAATGCGACCTGGGTCAGTTACATCAAACAACACCGCGTTACGCAGGTTAAGTTGCAAATCAGCCGTTACGAGGTCCGATCCTCCAACTTGCCCATGCGCATTGTTCTCAAGGAGAAGTACGCGCTCGACTGGATGGGATCGGGCTTCGTTCGCCTGCCCCATGTTGTGGAAGAGTACAAGGAATTCTTGGGGCTCGACCCAAGTTGGGGTGTTACTTTTGCCGTGGATTACTCATGAAGGGCCAATTGCGCGCGATGAGCAACAGAGGTGCCCAAAACCTCAGAATACTTCTGTTACGGCGTGCGGAGGAAGTGTAGGGTACACTTATCGATCTTTACGTGGTACGGCGGCCATGTCTCCTTTTGTTCTGAGACATGGTTTCACGTATGGCCGCTAGGCCTTTCCGTCATAGACCTACTAGTCGGGAATACTCCACTCTACTTTAACAGCCAAAGGTCTACAATTGAGACGGCGAGGAGAGCATGAAAGAATATATTCAATTATGAAAGATAGTCTAGATGCATACATCGTGTACCATGAAAAAATACGGCTGATCTGCAGGAATGCCGGTCGTGCAGCTGCTCAGCTGGTGACATGTCATGGCGCGTGACGTCATACCAAAACGCCTACCAGCACATGCCATAAACCTTAACCAGCATGTATACTTCCGCATTCCACCACTCCATGACTACGACTGCATCTTCAAGACCACTTTAGATGGGTTATCTGGGAATGTTAGAAGTCGTTTCGATACCAAAGTGGAGGATACTCACCCCCAAGAAGATCCGCAAAGACCCCTCCATCGTCTACCATCAGAGGCGCGTCTGCACGTTTTCAGTATGAGCATGATCACATCACCGCAATACACATACTGGAGAACTTCAGTTGGTAAGAATCACCATCCTGGCTTGCAGTAACTTTATGCACGGGCATATCGGTGTCTGCCTTGAACCACCACACTTGCTTTGGAAGGAAGCTACGGTCTTCTACCATGGCTCGTCCAAGAATGTGACCGTCGCACTGCAGACGGCTGCCCTTGAGTTCAAAGACGGCTGCGTCCGTGCCTGTTTTCGCATGCGTCTTGTCTTCGGCGTTGCCGTCGACCTTGGCGATGGGACTGCCATCGATTTCGATGGTGAAAGGGGCGGGGAGGCTATCCATCTCTTTTGACGAGAAGATGTGGAATGATATCAGGATCAGAGAAAATAATCCAAATGCCCACAAGAGGTTGCGACGACCTTTCGAATCAGCTGGCATTCGTTCTGGATGTGATGGGTATTGCAGTGCAGAGAGTTGAGATGGTGTCAGGAGTATTAGTAGCAGCTGCGCCACGCATAGTGTGCAGGCAAGGCAACAGTCGAAGTACCTTGCATATGACGCAGACTCCGGATGAGGCTGAAGGCACTGCGCTAGTATGTCTGCATGGCGTTATCTGGCATTCATGCTCGGCGCATCAAGAGACATGTTGACGAGAGCAATTTACGTATACAGTGGCCTTATCGAAGCAGAGTTATGTTGACTATGGTACCGAGGCTGGACGCGGACGCGGCCGGGCGCTGAACACAACGTTTCGACCGCCATTGTTTCTCGACCACTTCACATGCGGTGAACCACCGGCGAGCACTGGAGATCTCCATACCAGCCATACTATGTGCAGGTTTCAGCGCCGTTGTGTAGATCGATACTACCTCCGGCAGTCTGCCGGCTCACGCGCGCGTCGCCAAGACGTTAAAGCTCCGCCCTACCAATAGCTCCTCCATCTCCTGCCTTTCCTGGCCCAGAGCCGGTGTCACCCAGCGAACGCCATAATGCGACATCCTGAATGCTCGCCATCTCCGACGTCGCAATGTGCATGTCGGGGCCAAGTGCGCGAGTGTTTTGCTAGCAGCCCATGCGGACCTATCCGTTGTGGCAGGTCAATCCTCCTGCCTTTTCCCCACTGGCGTACTAGTCACGCCTAACCCAACATCAACACACTATTCGTCCCCCGACAAAATGGCACAAATCACGTACAATGCCGATCATGTAGGGCAATATACACAGCCTGCATCGTGGTTCGCCTACCACGAGATGTTACAGGAACCTGGTCGGCGCTTGTGTCGGTATGCACACCACATGTGGCAAAATCTCTTGCCTCTTCAGGAGACAACGCATGACGGCGCGATAAGATCGCGTCGATTCGATGGACTCTACGAGAACCAAGACTATGGCAAAGGAAATACGATGGTACTTCGGCTTTACTATAGCCAGGATATGGAACGGCGTCACAACCTCCTGCTGTCTAGGGAACAGCGTCGCTGTAACGGCCTTGTTGCGACATACCCCGAGTAGAAACAACCATGTTTGGCGGCTATGTTACGGTTGCCTGAGGCCGTGAGAGGAAACAGTCTTATTTCCGACATGTTTCAAGCACAAGAGATGGCTGAGATCGCAGCCCTAAGCTAGAATGAGACAGGGGCGAAAAAGCAACGATCTGGAGAAGCGGACCTGCAGACTGCAGCTGTGAGGCAAAACTCGCCTTGATCCTGGTATACGGGAGCAACCGCTAGATCAGCTTCGTCCTTCACATTCGTTGTGAGGTAAATAGCCGGAAAGCTTATACTACACGCAGATAACGTACCTACATGGACAGGGTCACCTAGCACGCACCGGCGCGCCAAAGGTACGATGGGCGGACTCTCGTTAAGACTTCGCCAAGCCGAAGCGGACCCCCAATTCGGAAGGACAAAGTGCACACCTAGTCGATCACGCTTGGCGACTCCGGACAACACGATGGAGACACTGCACTGGATTGCGTGTTTGATGATCAGGGGATGATGGTCTGTGTATAAGTATAGAGTCACTTCCCTTTCTTTTCATCATCAGCCAGCTCAGTCAGTCGCTTGTCTCTTCACTTTAATCACTTCACAGTCCTACTCCGTGTAGCCTCATTCACTCGAAACAATCATCATGCGTTTCCAATCCATCATCGCCATCGCGCTCCCTGCGCTCGTCCTTGCGGCTCCTACTCCTCAAGACCCCGAGTACGAGTTCCCCGAGGATGCTCCCGTTGACGACATTGTGGGTGGAACCGCTGCTGCCTCTGGCGACTTCCCCTTCATTGTCAGCCTTCAGAAGAATGGACAGCATCTCTGCGGTGGTTCTCTGTTGGACGCCACCACCGTTGTCACTGCTGCTCACTGCTCCGTGAGCTCAGTCATCGGCTCTGTCAGCACCCTCAAGATCCGCGCTGGTAGCCTCCAAAAGGCATCCGGCGGTACATTGGTTGGCGTCTCATCCGTCACCGTCCACCCCAACTACCGCAGCTCGGGCCAGGACTGGGACGTCGCCATCTGGAAGCTCTCTACTTCCGTCGCTGCCAGCGGCTCCATCGGCTATGCTCGCCTTCCTGCTGCTGGCTCCGACCCCGCTGCTGGATCCAACGCCGTCGTTGCCGGCTGGGGTGCTCTCACTGAGGGTGGCAGCAGCCCTGCTGCTCTCCAGAAGGTCACCGTCCCCATCGTTTCCCGCGCCAGCTGCCGCTCCTCCTACGGAACCTCTGCCATCACCACCAACATGATTTGCGCTGGTTTCCCTCAGGGTGGAAAGGACTCCTGCCAGGGTGACTCCGGCGGCCCCATCGTCGACTCCTCCAAGACCCTCATTGGTCTCGTCTCCTTCGGCAACGGCTGCGCTCAGGAGGGTTTCCCCGGTGTCTACGCCCGCACCTCTGCTCTCCTCTCCTTCATCAACTCTGTTTAAGCGCTTGCTGGACGGATTTGTGCTTTCTGAAACACGACAATGGATGGATATGGCTCTTCAGCGAAGAGTTGGATGATTGTGAACGACGATGATATACCAAGTGGTCAGAGGTTTCATGCCTCTTGCAAAACCATGTTTTGATACGCCTTTTTTGTATATATCCATTAGCTACGAAATGCATTCAATAACTTCAAACATTACGCTCACATTCATTGCAACGTGCCTGTGACATCATTCTCGCATCAGCCGACATCATCGATCAAGATTTTGTCAACACCATGTATCCTTTTTCCTGGCACCCGAAAATACAATCTATACGAGACCAACGCATGCGAGGCCGCGTGGACTTTCCCAACATCGTCCTATGACGTAGAACCCCAATGATATTGTGCCAGGTGCCGGATCCCCTCAAGCCTTTTAGACAAAACGGTGTGGGAAGAACAAAAGAAGTGCCCGTTGGGCGGGATGATGCTTGTAGGGCTGAGAACAATACAAGCTTCGCTGTCGCACATTGCTTTTTATGCCTATCTTTAGACATGTTTTGGCACATGTGTCAGAGTATGGAGAGAAAGAGGATAGATAGCTGGCGGTGTAGAATAAACTGTTTGTGATTGCGACCGCGCAGTCATGATGGTGGCCTTGTCGTCTTTTGATCAGGCGGCGGGAGAACGAAACATAGCTCGACACCATCATGATTTGAAGTAAATTTTCTGGAAGCAGAATTCATCGGGTACACGTACCGCAGAAGAAGCAATCATGGTTTTGTGAACACCTCGGTATGGACACACCATGTGCGACGGCGTGTGCCTTTTCAATGTAGAACACTGGCTGTCACGATGATGTGAGACCTCTGAACATCTAACCACACAGCCAGGTACACGGGTATTTATGGCTTACAGCCCGGGAAAGACATGTCTGGGTCGTGGTTAAGATTTTGATCTAGAAATCCGGTGCATGAGAATCTCTTCGCAGCACCTAAACCAGAGCGATCACTTTCTTTCAACATACGTTGTACCCTAGTACGCTTTTGGAAAAAGGGAAACATCTCCATAAATTGTCGAGATAACTGTTTGGAGTACGCAGTAGACACAAGGCGTGTAGCCTTGCGCTTTTTGGTAAAATCGGAATCAGTGTTAATGAAGAAGAAGACTTCGAGAGAGCATACGGGAGTCTTTTATATGCCCCGGTCGCAAGACAGGCTTCTAGCTCAACAGTAAAACCGTTGCAAACCCGGGATGCTTGCTGTACATGAAATGTGTTCTGAGAGTTTTGAAGTTAACGGCAACACACTGTGCGAAAGCCGTTTTTTCTTTTGCTTAATGACGAGGTCGCAACGCATTCTCCGTGATTCTTGATGTTTTGCAGTAATTGGACTTTTGGAAACGTGCTCCATGAAGAAGCCACCTGTCAACTTTGGAGAAAGCACACGCCATGTCTTGATATTGGTCTTCTTTTGGTCCACAGCAGTAGAAAATGTTCTGACGAGGAAAGGGGACCTCAGCGCATAGAGCTGGAGTATTTATTCTGTTAAGCAAAGCAGAAGTTTAAATGACAAGAAGTCCAGTTGGCAGCAGAGAACATTTAAGTACTGGTAGTAGTTTTCTCGGCGACGGCCTCACATCCAGATCTTGTCCTTGGCTTTTTGATAATCGTAGACGAACACAGCAGTCGAATCAGCCGCACATGCTTGCTGTGTACGCTTCTTTTTGTGAAAAGGCAGGAAGCGGACATAGCCATGATATCTTGAAATTTTGGACAAGACTCAGGGAGCATGAACAATAGAGGCGAGGCTTTCCTGTTGCTGTCGACGTTTAAATATGCTGAGCGTCATCTCGGAGATGCATGTTGAGGGCCCATATCAATGGGTATGAAACATCGAACGGGTTTGTGGAATCTTCGGCGGTACGATCTTTTGATAATACATGTCCACAGACTGTTCATACTTTGAATAAATAAAGGGCATCGGACGTCGACGTCATAGGTGTTTGTATGGTACCTTTTGAAAACTCAGAAAACAGACATACTCACGTCCAATGCTTGTTTTCGAAACGGGTAAGGGAACCCGAAATAATATAGGAGGAACGTAGGTGAGAAGTGGGTTGACCTTTATATAGATGGACTGGCCAAGCCGAAACGTGACATGCATATTCGAGTGCCTACTTTCAAAAACATATGACGATGCTCCCATGTTGATCGATGAGTGTTCAAAAGAAAGTACACATTGAGCTATGTGATTAATGAGATTCTGTAATGGAGTAGCGCCATGTTGGTCGCTCCTCTCGGGTATTGTAGATAGTAGAATATACATGAACTGAACGAACTCACATCTCACCATCGTACACGCCATTCTTCATCCCGACCTCCTTGTCTCGTGTGCATTCCTGCTGAGTCGTACTTCTTTAGTACCTTCCACTTTCCCTTCGTCCGACACCAAGGCTTCCATACGGGTTGCTTCTGCCCAAGCTCGCCGACTGACCCAGTGTCTTCTCACCGCTCTCTCTCGCAGCGCCCAAATTGCCGAGACTGATCCTCTTCAGAGGGCTGACGTCCCGCTTGCTTGGACTAGCCCTGCGCTCGAAAGCACCGCCGAGGCTATCTCTGCCACGGCTCGCACTTCTCTCGCCCTCTCTTGAAAAGTTTGCACTTGCGGACTTCCGTAGGGGAGACGCGGCATGAGTGTTGACCCCCAGGTATCCGCCGTCAGTAGGCTTGGTGTTGGTTCGGGGGATGGTGGGTGCTTGACGGAAGGGATTGGGCGTTTGCGAGGGTCGGATTGGAGAGGAAAAGTCGGCGTCTGTAGCTGTGGAGGTGGTTGTGTATTGTGAGGTGCTACGGTCTTGGTGGACTGAGGATCGTCGTCTCGAGGAGCGCGTGACAGATGGTGATTCCATGTTATCAGGGTCGTACTGCGAGGCGTAGCTTACGTTCGGGTTCGTACGGAAGGTTTTGCGGTTCACGATAGTGGTTGGTGTGTATGTGACGATTGAGCTCGCAAGACCGTGGCTACTGCCCTTGACACCAACGCTCGAGTCTCGGGTTCGGTTTGTCGAGATGGTCTGGATTCCGACGTCGCGGCATGGCTTCTGTAGTGAAGGGTGGACGAATTTGCTGTCGTACTCGTGAAGCACCTGACGACTGATGAGAGAGTTGTCCTTGGCCTGCTGCATAAAGGAGCTCCTAAGCCACCAAAGATGGAGCGAGAGCGCGGCTCCGATGAAAATCGTCGTGGTGACCCTGACGCTCGGTCTGGGATCCAAGGGAGCAACCGGGAGGTTGAAGTAGTAGAGCACCACATGCAACGGGCTGAACAGGCAGAACAGCTCCAGGCATAGAGGGTTTGGGTCCCAAACGGCAACTTCCCAGACGTCCCTACCCTCGACAGGATGCGCTCTGCTCGCCGCGTTGTTCTGTACCAAGCTTCTCACAAACTGCATCGGACTCGCTGCGGCAGGCGATGAGTCGACTCGGACGCGCTTTGCGCTGGGTGTCTGTGGCGCCACATCCACACTCTGCTCGAAGAGACGGTAGTACCTCCTCTTACCCCAGACCATAAATGCGTTGCCAAAGCTGGCTGCACCCAGGACCAGGACTAGCAAGCCCATGATCCACTTTATCCATCCGGGACCCTGCACCTCGTTGAAGACGCCATCGTCGTCCGAAGCCGTGGATGCGCCGCTGTTGGCCTGGGCGAGTACGAAGAGGAGGTTTGCGCCGAAGCCGATGTAAAGCGCATATGCAGATGCGAAGTCTTCCCAGTCTGAGCTGTTGAGTTCCTCCGAGATCCAGATGAGCCAGTCGGAGAGGTCGAAGTAGGCTTTGATGCGTTCCGAGAGCGGTGCGCGGCGCACGAGAGGAGGCATGGCGCGGTGGTATTACGATTATAAGTGCTAGGGGCGAGTCCCGGGTTGTAGAAGAGAGGTGGGAAGAAGAGGCGTAGCAGCAAGGCTCAAGTCATGGTGGTGCGGCGACAATGAAGAAAGCGCGAAGGGTGAAAGAAGCGACAGTACAAACAGTTGGCCTAACGCGGACTAGGCCCTGGTCCCGCCCATGACGACGGCGCGCGGGAGCTCCAGCTTGAGTGCAGCCAAGCTCCGACCTCACGACAGCTGCCTCACTACAATCCCACTATGGCAGCACCCGCGGCACAGTACAAGGACAGGCAGTTCCTCGCTGTAATAGGTGATGAGGTGTGCATCTCGCGGCTTCCTCATCCGGCGGGTCAAAGGCGCTAACTGGTCGCAGGACACTTGCACGGGCATGCTGCTTGCAGGCGTAGGCGTAAGCTATGCCCTACTGCGACGCGCGATGTAGACAGGAGACTGACGAATATCGTAGCATGTCACTCAGCCGCCGGACAGCCAAAAGAACTTCCTCGTTGTAGACGCAAAGACCGAGACCGCGACCATCGAAGCTGCATTCGACCGCTTCACCACCGAGCGCAAGGACATCGCGATTCTGCTCATCAACCAGCACGTACGTCTTATGCGCCCCGGATGTGGCGTTGGGATCTAGAAGGATGCCAGAGCTTCTGCGGACTTGTAGACTGAGACATGTCTAACCACCCATAGATCGCCGAGAAGATACGACACCGAGTCGAGACATACACCGCCGCCTTTCCCTCCCTCCTCGAGATCCCATCGAAAGACCACCCGTACGACCCCGAGAAGGACAGTGTGTTGAAGAGGGTGAGGAGGTTATTCGGAGAGTAGATTTTGGATTTAGGAGACTGGCGGAAGATGAGAGCACCGAATATGTCGCATACACTACTCGTGGATGGGTACTAGACATGTGCCGCCGGCAGTTATCTGCGCATACAAGCTACAACGTCAATGAATATGATATCCACCACTACAGATACAAGTCGTAGTATGGAAAGTGTTATGAAGTCGATGCGTGTCCTTCGTATGTACATTAATTCGTCATTATATCCTCGATTCACCGGCCACACATCAATCTTAAGCTGGCACTGTCATTGCGAGGTACCGGCAATGGACCAGCTCATCGACCAACATACGAATTGGTACACTGCCGGTACCTCGTAATACCAATGCGAGTTTAAGTTCAATGTGTGGATCTTACTGGAACCCTTGGTTGGGAAGCATTGAAACCAAAGCTTACAGTCGAGACATACTGATATCGCGAGTCAAAACAAAGAGAAATCCGCCAAAGATGGCTTACAGCTCATTCCTCCGCCTTAAACGCTCCTGTACCAGACCAGCCAAAGGTCCACTCATCTGAACCCTAGGCTGTCCTATCTTGATCTTGCTGCCACTGCCTACATTACTTTCCTCCGCGTTTCCCCTGCATCATTGAATATCAGACATCCTCGTTGCTCATCGCGTGTTGTAGAGTCGTTACGAAGTGAGGCAATTTACCGGTGGAAAGCGATCTTGGCGGTGAGGCAAGTAATCTTGTCGCCCTCTGCGGTGAAGACATCGGCGAGGACGGTGTATGTGCCCTGTCGTGCTGTTAGTACTCTTCTATGTCCGTCGCAGCTTGAAACGCACCGGAGGAATCTCCCTGGGCAGATCAACGTCCTTGGTCAAGCTCATCTCGCCCTTCTCGAGCGGGCACTCGAGGTCTCCCTTCTTTATCGTTTCGCAACCATCCGCGTTCTGGTTGATGAGTGTGATGAGGCCGTACTTGACTTGCAGGTGCATCTTGAAACCCTCACCGACCTCCTCCTTGAAATCGCCTGTGGCCTTGATGCTGAGCTTCTCGCCACTGTGTACAAGTTAGCTTCCATCTTTACACTCTTGAGATTCGCGAAGCTTTCACGTGCGCGATTGCGCAGCTACACAATACTTCAACGAGGAACACGTACGGCTTGGGTGGGTTGGGGCTCAAGTCGACCTTCTCAATCTTCAGAAGGTCGTCGGCTGGGTCGCCGCAGAAGTACAGAGGGTTGTCGCCTGGGACCTTGTACTCCTCCTTAATCGTGACCTGGTCGCCACCCATCCATGAGGGCGATGCGGTGACAGAGACGGCGCTCAGCGCGGCGAGGAAGAGGGTAGTGAGCTGCATGGCGGCGGTGAAGACAGCTGCGGTACAAAAGACGAGCTGTGGTGGTGTTGTTGTCGCGCAATAAACACGACGGGAACAACTTCGATGTGGATTCGAAGTTGGGGAAGGATGGTTGGGGTTGCTGTGGAGAATGGAGAGCTCTGGTAGTGGTCGAGGCTGGCGTCTAGATAGCGGCCGCGGTTGGATCTTGCTGAGGCTGGGGCTGGGGCGAAGCATGGACCCTGCAGCCAACGTCATCGCTGTTGGTCACGCAGCACGCGTGGGTCTTCCGCTAGCACCATCTGGGCTTGACATGTACACATGTACTGCACCTTGTGCCGTCGTGCATTTACCTAGGTAAGTTTGTGGAGATGTAGCAATGACAGGCAATAGCAACGGACTTTTGAACAACTTCCAACTGATCAACGAGCGACCAGGGATCGCGTTGAGCAAGTTCGGATACCCGAAACCCGACTCAAATGTACTCACTTGCTAGTCGCTCATGGATGAGGTACGTCTGGTGATGGTACATATCTGACATCGATTCGGACTCATGATAGCATTCTGATATTCTAGGCGTTGCCTCCGTGCTTAGAGTATCTTCGCGCAGCATCCAAAAACAGACGGTCCAGCTCAGCCGCAGCAGTTTCATTGCTGACCTTCAGTTTCAGAGTCCGCCGCCCCCTCGATACTCCATCATTTATCCATTCGTTCATACCGTCTTCAGGGTTGATCTTGTTGTAGCCACGGTCTTCTGCAATGTCGAACATGTCTCCAAGGCCGTTCGCAGCATACATGATAGTCTACACATGGGCGCAAGGAGTCAGCGTATGCCTCGCAAGCAATTCGTAAAGGGACACTTACAAGTGGATCCCAACTAGGTAGCGGCTTCCCGAAACCATAGTAGATGTAAGCCATTCGGACTGGGTCGTCCTCCAGATCACTCGCTATGAGCGGTCCGCCTACCAGTACATCTCTGCCGACAGTAGTGCCTACAAACGTTATTGGACCGACCCATGTGTCTAACACATGGGCGGCAAGGGCAGGCTTGGAGCCCCAGAAGTTCCAGCTACGACCTTTCGGATACTTGCCACCCATGACGACGAGCTCTGCCACTTTAGTCCTGGCAAGCTCGCGACCGTCAAGCTGAGAGTACTCATCGGGTTTGGAATCGAGAAGTCCAGACAGCTAGAGACTTTAGCGACCAATTGTGAATGAGTAACAGCCGCATTCTGAAAACGCACATTATCGAGGAAGCCGATGGAAGCAATCGTCACGCTTCCGTCTTCTGATTCAGAGAGCAGCTTTCTGTACAAGACAACTGGATCCCAGGCTTTCTCTGCCTTTCCCCATGGTAGAGTGCCTCCGGACCAGTGGTAGGCCACTTTACTCGTGTACTCGCCGCGCTTGTAGTCCCAGGCATCAAAGAACCTCACATCGTTCATTGGACGACGAATACCAATGGGTGTCTTCGGATGTCCATAATGTGCCACGATAGCAGACGCTGCGAGGGCAGAATATGAACAGGGATGGTTGACGTTGACACCAAGAAGGTTGACGTTGGGGAGAGTTGCGCCTAGCAGCAATGCGCCCGCATCACTAGTACACTAGTAAGCTTCTTGTAATGTGAGAACAGGGCTATGCGTACTCAACATCGCTGTGCAAGTCGGTGTCGATAATGAGGTTCTTGCGCGTTGTCATTGCCTGGAAGTTGACGAGAAGGGAGATAATAGTATGCGAAGGTAATCTGAGAGGCTCTCGATATACTGTGGATATCCAGCGTGTCTCTCGTAGTGGAGTGGACAGCTGGGAACGTTTGGCCGTCAACCAAGCATGAGGGGTAGCTCGCAGCCTCAGGCCCACCGGCTCTACCAATCATGGCCTAGCCCACAAGAGGCAGTCAGATAGACATGGGCGCCTACGTATCTGGTTTGCCTGAAGTTTTGAACGAACAAGTCAGCCAAACATGGTTCTGACAAGCCAACTGTGTTACGATGTCACATCAATTCCCTGTCTTGTTTCGCCCATAGTGAGGCTAGAAAGGTGCTTGAAGCTTTCAGCTTTATAAGAGACCTAATACTGAGGCTTGAGAAGTTTACATCGGCGGAGGATTTAGATCAAGGCCCTCAACGCTGAGCCTGAAGCTGTCCATCCGCGAATAACTTCCCCCAGAGTCGAAATCGAGTCTGCCACGCTCACAATCGTCAAAATCGACGTCTGCGACCAATAACTCATCTTCTTGCTCCCATATTGGTCCAGCAAGCACCTCGCCCAAGGGTGATACTATCATAGAGCCGCCACGCGATACATATTCCTCGCCGTCCGCTGACTGAGGCTGCGAGAAGGGTTGTTGCTTGGGGCCAAGTGTATCTTCAGTAGTGGAAGAAGAATCAATCGCCGACGAATCGCCTTCAGTCGCCTGTCCCTCTGGTATTGGTATGCAAATTTCGTGACCCTCCGACGTTTTCGTGATGGTGCTTCGTCGTCTGCCAGCGACTCCATTACTCTGCTGCGAGAGGCTTCTGCCGACGCCGCTTCTGCTTCCATTGCTCTGCGATTGTGCTTTGCCGGTGATCCATTCTGGGAGGTGTTTCTTCTTGACGCATTGGTTTGCGCTAACCACGAAGCATCGCCCTTCGCAGCCTACCGTGCGCATCAGCGACGTCCAAGCATCACGCGCATCTGCTGTCGGCGCAAACCACAGATTGACGTTCTGGCTGTACAAGCTCTGCCTCAGCAACGGCATGTAGTTCTCCCAGCAAATCGCCGACCCCATACACAGCTTGACACCCCTGATTTCCGTTGTCACCGCCCTTAGTGTGCTCGCACTTCCCATGCCCCAAATCAGCCTTTCGCTACCCGTAGGCATGACTTTCCTCCTCTTCCCCAAGACGCCCATCTTTGGATCGACGAACACCACTCCGCAGTATAGTGTGCCACCAGACTTCTCCACAATCCCCGTAACAACAAAGACCCCCGTCTCTCTTGCTATCCTCTCTAGCTCCTCTCGTGTCCCATCACCCCTATAGTCCTTCCCTCTCGGTAACTCGAGCTTCCGGTCTAGCCAATCTTGCCCAGCGCCGCTCGGTGTGTCGCCCATATCGACAGCATCGTGGAAATAGTGCAGGAACTGCTCGCGACCTTCGGGTGCGCGACCGCCAACCGCAGCGCCAAAAGCGCAAGTACGAGGATATCCACCCAGGTATGCTTCGGGAAATAGGAGGACATCGATGCCTTGGGATGCGGCGCGTTTCGTTGTCGCTTCGAGAGCGGCGAGGGTCTCGGCGGTTGTGGAAAGCGTGCGGGATTGCGCGGATGCGATTTTGAGTGTTTGGGGCATTATGGATAGGATGAGAGGAAAGAAACGAGCGCTTGTGAATGATGGAATGAGCAACACGCGAGAGAATGAAGGAAAGAGATGGCTTATGAGCTTCCGAAGCTGGCCGCGATGACAGCTAACCTTGGAAGCTTCCCGAGCTACCCCGCTCGTAACCCCACCTCGAACGAGCAAAAGAAAGCATCTCCAACATCAAAGTAGCTATCGACGCGTGACGCGTCGCGGTGTTGGGGGAGACGCGGATAGGGCCGAGAGACGATGATGATCTCAGTGGATGCCTGTGGAGCTGCTAGACGGACGAAGCTTCCAAAACTCCACACCACGACGTCACACTCCGATGAACACTAGTAGACGCAGAATTTCTTCATCCTATGTAGACTTTGCATCGTAACAGTCCTTCTTTCTCAATCAAACCCAACCAAACATAAACCTCCCAAAATGTCGCAACCCGTGGACGTCCCAACCCATCTCAACTCCCTCATCACCTCTTCACATCCTCAACTGCGCGATGCAGTCCTCCCAAAGCTTCTCAGCTCAATCCACACAATAGCCGGCCACCTGCGCACCTCCCCATCGGTAACCCAAGTCGGAACCGCCAATGCCTTCGGCGACGACCAACTGAACGTGGACGTGCTGGCCGAAGAAGCGATCCGCAAAACCATCGATTCATGCCCAGCAATCGTAACAGCCTCCAGCGAAGAAGACCCCGTTGAAAAATCATCGAAATCTACCAGCAGCGAAGATTCAGGCAAAGAAGTCTACACACTCGCCTTCGATCCGCTAGATGGCTCCTCCATTATCGCACCAAACTGGAGTGTAGGCACGATAATCGGGGTCTGGGAAGGGGCCTCTGCTTTACATCAATCGCCCGATGCAAAGCAAATCGCCTCGATACTGGGCGTACTGGGCCCGCGTACTACCGCCATTGTCGCCCTTCGTTTACCAGGTACCAAGGGATCATGTTTCGAGGTCGGATACGCAGATGACGGCACCATGCAAGTCATCCGCCCAGACGTGCAGTTGACGGAAGCCGCTGAAGTAAAGACGCGATACTTCGCCCCGGCCAACATGCGCGCAGCGGCCGAGGACCAGAGGTACCTGAACCTGGTCAACCGTTTCATTATGCAAAAGTACACGCTGCGATACAGCGGCGGCCTCGTTCCGGATGTTGTACATGCGCTGGTCAAGGGCCATGGTGTTTACATTTCTCCGGTCACAGAGCAGAGCAAAGCCAAGCTTAGACGACTTTATGAACTAGCGCCTATCGCGCTGATTCTGGAGTGCGCTGGAGGTGCGGCGTTGGATTCTGCGACAGGGAAGAGGGTGCTTGAGACAGCGATTGAGGATACGGACGAGAGGGGTGGGTTGATCTGTGGAAATAAGGAGGAGGTTGAGGCTGCTGCGAAGTCTTTACTTCAGTAGGCGGAATGATTGAGATTTTGATATATCACGATTGATGTGTCAAGAGATGCATCTAGATAAGTGGATAAAGAGGGTCTAATATTAGGAGGCTCTAATGTAATTCGATCCGTACTCTTCGTGCTTCTACCGGTAATCCAAGATGTCGCCCGTAGGAACAATGAAAAAAATGGGTATATGTCATGAGTAACTCATGACGGAAGTATGCAACGAGGCTTCAATGGCCATCGTGCCATGAATATGTGCGCTTCTCAAATTAGAAGCGACTATGATGTCGTAGCATGCTCAGATAATGTCTTGAGCCGTTGAAATAAGAACAAAGGGAAAGGTATATAGGTCTAGAAAACCAAAAAGTCGACGAAACGATGGTACGGCTCAGAGACGGAAAGACGAACGGCAAAAAATCGACTCAGTAAGCGCGACCGGCTTCGATATCGCCCTCGCGACTCCGTCCACGAGTTGCTGATGTGCCTCTGCTGCCTGGTCGGAGTGCCGCGCAAACCGTTTTGCAGCCATCCCGCCAGCCAGGCTGCGATGACACGGGTAGCGCAGTAAGCTCCTTCGTGCTGTGGAGGCTCGCATGGTCGTAATAATCGCGCTCTTCAACCTTGACATCCAACTTGTTAGTTATGTGAATGCCTTCCAACGGAACATCACCGCGAATCGATCCAGCAGTGCACTGCGATCGCTGTGTCGAGTGCTGGGATGCTTTCCCGGTGAAGCCTTGCGATAGTGTATTTGAAGACGGACCAGACGCTTGACCGGGGATTCCAGTCTGAGAGTAGCCGGCGCGCGAGGTGTACATGCTGAAGTAGCGACCGAGAAAGACTTTGAGCGAGGGTGCCGAGGCGCACATTACGGCTAACTGGGCTTCGAGTGTCGTCCAGATCCAGCCAGAATACGCTGCCCAAGTAATGTCGTAGGTGACTAGACCAGAGAATTAGTTTTGCTAGATGACGATTCAAGAAGATAGATCCATACAGTAGTATAGCTTTGCGGCATAGAACGTTCGCATCATACCGCATATGCATGTTATCAGGCCCACGCCAAAAATGGCACACAGGCCGATCTTTTGGCGTTTGCTGATCTGGAGGTTCCAAATCAAAAGTACTGGTAGCAGGCAGATGATGAAGTCCTGGAACAGTGAAATCACCGCGCATGCGACAATAAGGGCCCCCTCGTTGCGACACGTCAGTTCATTCTGCAGTCTCCAGGATATGTCGAAGAGGCGGAAGAATCCTATAACCGGTGTACATGTGAAGACAATGGCAATAGTGAAGGCAATTCCGTAGATGATGCAGAAGGCGATGGTGCCGTAGACCCCTGTGGAGCAACGTTAGCTTCTGCGTGGACCAGGCTGGGTTTGGCGAGATACTTACAGTAGATAAACTGATTCGTCAGACGATCACCGATTCGGCGGTAGAAGCAAAGGATCGAGACTTTGATCAGCGTCGAGGTTAACATGTAGTTAAGTTCGATTGCAAAAGCGATCTCTCTTGTCGTTACTAGAGTTTCTTCGGTCTGGTCCCAGACGTGCCATTGGAAGCCATAGATACGAATACCTGCGTTTGTTAGCAAAGACCACTTCGAAAGGAAGCGATACATACCAAGTACGCTTGATATGGTCAGACCGAATAGCGGCAGCATTGCCATGCTGACAAGTATGTCATCCAGCCCAAAGTTCTTCGATATGACCAGCCTTGCCCACATCCGCGCACAGTATACCAGGAAGGTGATGCCCAAGACGACCATGAGCAGTATTGGGGGTCCCCAACCTCGTTCCTCCGGGTCGACATAATTCGGTTTTGGCCAGCTGAGAAGGACTTCTGGTGGAGGATGTAAACCGCCTGCACGAGCGACGAGGCTGCCGCCATAGGATCCCAGAGTGTTTCCGTCCATGATAGGAAATACCGGCGTAGTAGCAGCAGGCCTAGCTGTCGGGGTGAATGTGACACGAACTGACCATCGCAAACAGAAACGACGCCTGGGATATGAGCCAGATCTATACACACAAGAGTCGGGGGTCCAAGACCAATGACTCCGCTAGTAGTTAGCGGGGTCCATATCTTCCCGCACCTCAAACACTGTGGAGTGATCTACGCCACAGTACGGGTCCCCTAGTCTTGCATGGCGTATATGGACTATTTCGCCGACTGCATCCATTATTAGGCTCTTTCCGTGAGAGCTTCCAAGGAAGTTGCGGTGAACCTCGCGGGTACAAGGCGGAGTCATGTGCCGTCAGCTGCGCGACATGAACAATTCGCTGTAGTTTTGCGCATTGCCCTGGTAAGCGTGGCGTTGTGTAGAAACCCGGGGGCGCGTAACAGTGAACGCAGCTGAAGGCTATACTGACCCTGTAAACGCCTTGCATCGTGGGACGCTGATCGTTGATCACCATGAGGCATGGAGGTTTGATCGCACACGTGGCATGTGTAACAGGACGTTTGTTGGCGTTGCTTCTGCAGGTGTTTGAAGATCGCGCGACCCGCTGTAGCGGTAAATGATCCACGCGAGCGTATGGAGCTTGAGCTTGCCCAGGTGCGAAGCGACACTTGGGGTAGGATTGCCGATACCACTTACTAGTAGTCGAGCTAGAATCATCAATTCTACCCGTGTGCCTGCAGATCTGCGACGTCCCCACAGGAAAACGGCTGGTGGTGGGTTGTGATCAATGACCCTGGGTCATGAATTTTCGTCGAAAACGAGAAGAATTCAAATGTGTTGAGAGGTCGATGTCCAAGAATCCATGTATAATCGTGCGCATACCTGCCTTACATCATCATGGTGATGCATGTCAAGGAAAGCTAGTTCTGAACTCAACCTCGAGGCAAGATCCATGGCGATCATAGAGCGGTGCGCAATCATGGAAAGCTTCAACGACAAGACGCCATAGTGTGCGACTGCATTAGGTGAGCTTGTCACAACTACCGAGGATTTGCAACCGCAGTTCCAGATTAGCATTGAGGTGTCGAACATGTGCAGTCGCCCTACGAACGATTCCCGTCGCGAGTAAGAGGCGGACCTAGGCTAAGGCTAACGGACGTCTCAATAACGACTTGAGTACCGCTAAACGCGTAAAAGGCCCTACCAAGACCAACGGATGCTTGTCGTTTTACAAATGCTAACCGGGAATTTTGGCATTCTGCGAATAGGGTTGCGCTCGCTGCGGGACTTACCATGTCAAAACTCAATTTCGCGATCGACAGCCACGCGACTGAGGCGTTCGTGACGAGACGTTGTACGCGCAAAGTCGGCGATAGAAGTTTGTAAAGTGTCAATAACCGCTGCAAGGCTCGGGAATATGGATAAACGTGCGTGCTGATGATGAATGAACATGGTAGGTGCTGGAGATTGAGTCTGAGGAATCTATCGAAGAATGCCCAGGTGCTGACATCATCAGCAGCGCACAGACCCCAGCAAGAAAGCTACACTCTCCAGTCAAACACGTCCTCCCCGCATCCCTTTGACCCCTGTTTGGTTCACATCTCAGGCAGAGTTTTTAATATTCCAGGCAAACTTCGGCTTCCGCTATCGGGATGCCTCTGTCGAATTCCTCTATCGAGATCGGGCTTTGAGCGACGGTTTTCGTTATCAGCCGGCAACGTCTACTCCGAGATGACCTCTTGTCCGAGCTCAGGGACTATTCGAAATACAATTGAAGATCTCTTAACGCTACGTTTCTAGGTACTAGAAGATCTACCGTGCTCACTCACCACGTGGAAAGCCTAGCAAATGCTTCCATCGCCTTTAGTACAGCCTCGGCTGCTTCTGACTGCGGAACAAGATCGACACATGCATCAGCGGATTGTCCCGAATGCGCCACCTCCACAGCATCGTCTGTCATCCCCTTACCGCCTTCCATATCCTCGTTATTGTAATCGCCTGGATCTTCGCGCGCAGCTTTTGCCAGAACTGGTTCGCCTCCAGTCGGATCACGATAATCCCACGTCCCAGGCTTCTTTCGATGTATTGCATGCAGCTTGGCAGGCTGTCTACGGCCACCACCCGCACCAGGACGCTTCCGTGGCTTCGTAATCATTGCGTCTGCAGGCTCATCCTCCACGCCTCCAAACCCGTCCTGTCGCATGAATTGATCGAAGAACTGCATGCGAGGTTCATCAATCTTGAGCACTGCCTTACATGCGCGATAGCCCTTCTTCAGCATTGCGGCGACGTACTTGTTGGCGAAGTGTTGTATCCTGTCCTCTTCGACTAGTCCGGTGCTGTCCATTGCGGCGTCATCACCGGAGCCAAGAGTGAGACTGTCGAGAGCTACTTCCGCACGTACTACATCGATCAGGCAAGCCGGGCAGACGAAAGGCTGGCCTTGCATCGGTCGCGCACAGGTCACACCACAGCTTGCGGTATACTCTGTTTGGATCCTGTGGCCACACTGTAGGTCATGGAACGTCGATGATGGGTTGCATGGACTGTACATGTCGTGGAAGTGCTGATCACTCTCTTGGATCTGCAGCTCACGCTGTTGCCTTTCGGTTTCAGCTATGTTGTTGTGGAAGGCATCGATGATAGCGCGAGCTTGTGCAGGAGCAGCGTGCATGTTTACCCGAGAATCACCCCGGGCAGCTGGATCGATGCAGTCGGTAGCCAGGCGTGTAGTTTTGATGTCGCATTCGAGCTGGCGATGAGATTGTCTACTTCAAGAGATGGTTGGTGTTGTACTTGGGTAGCGAAGGTTGTCGACCCGGAGGGAGAGTCATGTGTTGATAGGGGAACTCCGCGCGTGACAAGATGCGCAATGCCGAGGACGGCTGACTAATACGGGAGCGGAGCCTTGTGTCAATAGCACCGACTCACGGTAAGACACCTGTACAGAAATCTGATGAGAAGTCTTATTTGTGTATCTTCATTCGACTCACAGTAATGTCGAATGGTGGGTAGTGCAGCTCGACCCCTTCCTCATTCTCAATTAGGACAACCTTGCTCACAGGCCATCCATTGCTGTCATGATAGCCATCGAAGTCGAACCAATCGCACGATGCCAA